TTATTTATTCTGCTGACGATTTTGGTTGGTGTTTTGATCGGCGCGGGATAAAATGACTGCATTCCAGACATCGTGAACAGCGGAAGTGAGTGAATGACCTACTAGAGAGGTCAATTAGTACCGCCCATATATATTGTTAACCGCGTTTCGCAGTATAGCGGGTAACTATTGTCTGTTCGAGATGGAAAACAGACGGGTATGGTATGTGGGGTCATGTGACAAGGGGTATTTAAGTGGAGGACAGAAGGTTGAATGTCAATCTAGGCCAGTCTCGCTACAGTGCAGTTTTCAACTTGTTGTTTTGTAAGTTTGTTGTATAATACAGGGCGACACCCGCCACCTTCCCCTGGGCACGATCGACAGTTAGCCCTGCGTACAGTGCTGTGTGTACGGGGACGCGTTCGGTTGATAGATGTCCCCACCACAGCCCTGCGAACTTCCATAGACAAAGTCCGGGAGCGCACCGTAATTGGTGCGCAAGTTAAAAATAAGTAGTTTCCCAGCCGAAATCGGTTGAAATGACGATAGTTATCCGTAACAACCATTACAAAGTTATCTGAAACTGAAATGTCTTTAAATAACAACTAGTAAAGACGGACAAATTGTAAACGCGTAGGTACCGGAGGAATTATCCACCAAACGCCGCCATTTTTAATTTCATTCACGCGAGAGATTACGTTTGTTTTTAGGGCAAAGTAGCCGATTTCATCCACAATTGGACTCCGAACTGGGAGTTCTGGATATATCTGGTAATCGATCATTATTTTTGGTACCTGGGCATGTTATTTCATTAAAAAGTTATATTTTTCAAAGTCCCGGACTTTGTCTATGGAGGTAAGCAGGGCTGTGGTGGGGACATCTACCAACCGAACACGTCCCCGTACACACAGCACTGTACGCAGGGCTAGGCTGCATGTATATACTGACCACCCCACACAGTCCTATGAAGGACTATAGATTTTGTTGCACAGATTTTAGAAATTACGAGAAGGTGGTTTTAACTAATGCCAAGGCAAATAGATTTTCCAAAATGGTGAAGTTTTTTACTAAAATATTTGACAGCTTACACTTTATGCAGGTTTAATTAATTCATCAACAATTGGTGATTGGCCCACACTTTTAGGGTCCATACCTCTCTTACTGTACACATGCCTTCAGTCATATCTGAATGTGATACTGTGACCACACACTTATTAGTCCCTGTTTGGAAGCAGTCTGAAAACGGGGACTTATGGATTGTCCTCTGTGCATACAGCCGTGCATCTATGTTGTTGTGTGTGTGTGCGTGCATCTATGTGCACCTACTGGTATATCATAGACATTCCTTGACCGATTACATTCAAACATCACACATACACCATACTTAATATTATATATATGCACATCAATTTGTTTCATGATCTGATTCAAGATGGCTGAATAGCGGCTATTTTTGTATTGAAAATCAAAATCAAGCATTTCTTGGCTTGAAATTATGGGACCTTGATGCATGTCATTTTGATTTTTAGACTGGATTAAAATGGCTGACTGGCGGCCATTGTGTTTTAATGAATGTGGTTCTAGTGCCATATCTCTGACATGCTTTGACTGATGTTCAAATTTTATATATTCATTATACATCATGTCATAGATATATAGAATATTGATTTGACGATCCGATTCTGATTGTGTTTTAATTAATGCTGCGCCGGAGCAATATCTCGTACTATATTAGAATAAACAAAATTATTATTTATTTATTTATTTATTGCTTCCCTTTTGTAACAGGGGCTCACTATGTAAACTATAGGAGCTGCACCAAATAAAAAATACATTTCACTCAAAGACTTATGGATAAAAAACTTTTGATAGACAAAAAAAAAAAAAAAATTAAGTTACATGAACTAAGATAACAAAATATAACAACAAAAAAAACATCTAAAAGTAGCAACAACAACAAAAAATAAGAAAACTAAAATATAAGAAGTACACTGGAAAAATATTAAATATTATCTGTATACCTCTTTCTACTGTCCATGGCATCAACTAAGAATTTTTTTGTAAAAGTATCAATTTCGTCACACAGGACTGAATTATACTGCCTTGTACTGTCACCCAGGATTAAACATAGCACTTCTTTGTTTGCTATGAAGTCTTTATGTAAATTTATTTCATTTTTGTTACATAGGAGCATTTCAATCCCTTCCATTAGAGTTTTTCTCTGTGCTGAGAAACATTCACAATGTAATATGAAATGCTCCAGTGTTTCAGGTTCCTTTTTGCAACATGGACAGATACAATCATTATTATCCAAGTTTGCCCATTTCCTTTTCTCATATGCCAAACCAAGAGTGCAGGATCTTGCCTTGAATTTTAATTGGGTGCCCTTGAAGTTGGATAAAGAATTTAAATATTTCTCACAATATTTTAAATTTGTTTTAAATTTTCTATAATGAACGAGACTTGATTTCTCTGCCATTTTTTGTTTCCATTGAATCTCGTCACTTTTTACAATCAAATTTTTAATATTTCTTTCAGACAGATTAGTGAATTGACTTTTGTTTATCTTTATATTTCTTTCTATATCTTCAATGCTATTTAGCC